CCTCCAACCTAAGAGCTTCTCGCTACTAGTAGCTTCTTGTTACTAGTTGTAATGCCAAGGGCTACGTTCGTAGCATTCTTGCTACTAGTAGCGATGCCCTTTGCTACTAGTAGCGTCCTCTTGGCCTCCGATTAGCTTCTTGTGTCCATGACATCCGTCGAGTCTTCAAAAACCAGGATGAGACCGTTATCAATGCCAACCTCTAAGCTCTATGCCTTCTACCTGGGTGACTTCCCCAAAGCAGAACATCTTAATTCCGCCTGTCGAACTTTGGGAGGCTCCCATCTTTCAAGTGTTTCGAGCTTTCCTCCCCAACCCGCAAAGCGAAGGGAAACGCTAAATGCTATTTATCTTGAATGAAATTAACGCCTGTCACCAACTCCACTGAAAGTCAATTAACTTTCTACTTACGCGTCATTAGATCCAGTCAGATCACATGTTATTTCGATCGAAGCAATTCGCACACAGTCTTTAAATCCGATTTGATCCTAATTCTACTTTGACCTAACCTTGACTCTTCCTACACACTCCTTCGCAATGTTCATTGGCAGAAGCTGCCAGATTTGGTGGACTCATCCGATGGAGATCTGAAACAACCGCCGTGCAATGCTGTGTATGATATGCGCATAATATGCAAATATTATTATGCTAATATGTGCTATATATATACATATATGATTTTCGTTTCTTTTTTTTGTGGTTGTTTTTCCAGTTTTGTTTATATAACTTGAATTTTCAATCCGCTGGCAGATGCTCACTTTTGGTTCCCAAGCTCGCAATGCGCAGATGGCGTGGGCCGATCATGTTGTCATGTTGTCAAAATTCATGGCCAAATTCTGCAACTACATTGTGTTGCGCCTTCCTGCAAGGTACAACAATTCCTTTGTGCACTTCGCTTCAGTGGTGGATGGTTCTCGGAAGAATGCCGGCCTGGCACATTGTATGTTGCGGCTGCGGTCGGAGATTGAACAAACCATGCACATCCTGATGCGGACACTGGGATTGATTGACACTTTCTTGAACCTTTGGTGCTCCTTTGAACCACTTCGCCGCTCACAGGTGCCGCTGACCAGCGCAAGGGATATCTGGGGTGTTGGTGCTGAGGCACCGGATACGCGCTGGGCAAGTGGGCACACGTGACAAGCATTGTGTAAGCTAGTAGCGATGGCCTCCAACCTAAGAGACATCAAGATGACATGTTTTAACTGTTTTGTCAACCGTTCTCTCTTTTGTCTTCCTTTTAGTTCTTTTCTTCGCAACGTTTCCGCGAGCTAGGCGCTCTTGGTGCGAAATTTCCTCAGTGCCTTTTGCCTAGTGCTTTGCCCTTTTGACTCAGAGTGGAGTGGAATTCGGAATTTCGAGTCATCAGTGTCAGGCTTTCAGTGTCAGAAGCTTCTCACCATGGTTGAGGCACGTCTGACCTTTCATGTCGGTCCAACAACTGCTTTACATGTTTTTCTCCAGGGAGTGCTTGCCGGACATTCAGGGGAAGGTGGTACTTTGCGATGTTGGACGCTCAGATGTTGGAGTGGAACCAAGTGTTCATCTCATCGACAGTTGGCCCAGGCTCTTGCTTCCTTGGCGCATGCCTGAACAACGTGATTGGACGTGCCACATGATTTATTGATCTCATCAAATGCATCCATTCCTGAAGCTACTAGGAGCAAGAACGCTACTATCGCTACCAGCAACAAGAATGCTACTTTCTTCGGAACGTTGCCGAAACAGAAGCATCTCCGAGCAGAGACGGCGCACGAGTTTTCAGACGCGTCCGATCCTTTCGCCACCGAGGCCGTGTGTACCGTGACCGCGCGAAGCCTAAACATGTTTTTCAAGCTCCGCAAGTTTTTTGTCAATTCGTAGCGTCCTTGCTCCTAGTAGTACGGCCAAGGAGCCCCTAGTAGCTTCTTGCTCCTAGTAGCAATTCTGTCAATTCCGCGCTGGTTTTGTGTTATCACTGGTGATTTCTTCCACTCTATGTCTTTCTGATTTTCCTTTCAGTCCCCTTTCTCTGTTCCGGTTGCTTCGCTCTTAGCATTTGCTTCACTCTTCCTTCCGGTTTTCTGTGACTCAGGCTCCGGTTCACCAACTCTTCAACTTTTTGGCCACCACTCCAGAGGCCAAGTGTTCTCAGGAAGAAACCATGAGAACAGCCGGTGAGGTGGGATGTGGCCCAGCTGGTTTGAGTTTCCTTTAAAAATCTATCAGCCAAATCCTTAGCGTGAGCTATCCTGCGTCCAAGTATAGTAGCTTCCTAGGTCCCAGTTTGCAATTTTAGGTTATTTTCTCCCTTACTTAAACAAACTAGCCGCCTACTTAATCAATTAGGAGCTGCCTTAAAAAAAAAAGAAACAGTTAAAAACAAACAACTGTAATTATACCAGCATAGACCCCAAACAGCGTCAGCATGTTTTTGGCGTCGGCGTCAACTCCGAAAATTCCAATGTTGGTGGAAATGAATGCAAGTATACTTTTCTAAAGCCTCCAGCTGTTTGGGAACTGCACCTAAACAATAAATGTTTGAAAACACCCGTTCCTGATGCCTGTGTCACATGTGCAAAACGATGGGATACCGGATATACGTCATGAGAAGATCCGATGGTGATATCACATTTCGATCGCTGTATCACTGTTGCGTTCATAGCCATATGAAAACATACCCAGACAAGGCGGTGGAGATAGGAAAAACGGCGTGGCCAAGCAGGGGACAAGGCCTGGATAAGGCGGTGATAAAAGGCCCCACAACATGGACAAGCAGGACAAGCAGACCTGGACAAACAACAAAAGAAGGACATGGGTTTACGACCGTCACGAGGACAGCAATAAACACCAGGAGGACCCACAGGGGTTGCAAACGTGGCCACTAGAAGCAGGAGGAAGACACAGGGTTCGCCAGCGCGGCCAAAGGACGAGGAGGACAAGAGCGAGGACGAGCAGAGCCCAGCCACAGAGTTCAGGGGCGCGGCCAAGACAAGGACAAGAGGAGGAAAAGGCCCAGACACAGAGCCGGGCCACAGAGTTCAGGGGCGCGGCCAGTGAGTGTGGCCAGATCTTTTCCAAGATAGAGCCCCAACAGTAAACTGCTTGGAGATCAGAAAGAAAGAAAACAGCTCCGTCGTCAGGCCAAGTCGCTCGGTCTCTCTGAGCGATGGACCATGGCCCGAAGGTGGGCGAGCGAACGGTCGCCCGATGTCGCGACCGCCGCTTGAGGCAACCTAGAAGCAATGGCCTGCGATGGCCAATGGCCTCCAACCTAGCAGCGATGACCTCCACCCTGCTAGCGATGTCCACCCGACTGGCGATGGCCTCCAGGAATCCTGATGCATGGTTTTGTGAAGCTGCCAGGTTCCTGCGTGAGCAGTACTTTCTGCCACTTCCACGGGAGGTGTGGTGCAGGTCGTTTACTGTTGGCAAGTTGTCCCCGTGTAGCGTCAAATTTTGCCAGGTGATGCTGACAGACCTCAGCAAAGTTCCTGAGCAAGAGTACAGTTGGAGGAGAACTCGGGAGAAGTTGCTTTCGTTTCTTTTTCGATGTTTCACTATTTTTAAAAACCCGTCCGCCTCCCTACTAGCAATGGGCTCCAACCTACTAGCAATGGCCTCCAACCTACATCCTTCTCAATCCCATGCTACACAGTTTCAATTGCAGAAAGGAAGGCTTGTCACAGGTGGCAGAGAAGGGGCATGATGCACAAATTGAGACAAAGCGATCTGCGTTGCAAACGAGGTCCCCTGTAAAGGTCATTTGAACTTTCGTAAGGGAGATACTCGCTTGCGAAGGCGAGTCCCTCAAAGGCTGATCAAAGCAATGGTTCTACAAGTACGTGGTAAGGAGACACTGCTATTCCAGGTCTGAAATCTATTAGCACCTGAAGCGTGCTGCGTGTCACCAACATTTCAAGGTAAGATAAAATTTGTCATTCAGCTGTTTCAAGCTGCAACAAGGACGCTATTAGGTGGAGGGCATCGCAAGTAGGTTGGAAACCATCGCTACTAGGAACAAGAAGCTACTAGTAGCAAAGGCTACTAGTAGCTCCTGGCCGTACTACTAGTAACAAGAAGCTACTAGTATAGCAAGAAGCTGGTAGGTGAGAAAACCACTTGCAAAGCGCCAGGGTTGAGGATAAAGGGTGACGGAAGGCGCGGTGCCCCCTGTGCTCTCCATCTGATTGTGCTTTGGGTTCGACACCACCACGTTGCTGGCGGCCTGTGGATTTTGCAAGTTACAGCCTAATAGCTTCTAGCTACTAGTAGTAATGCCCTTGTTACTAGTAGCTTCTAGCTACAAGTCTTAGTATTATATACAGACAGTTTCAGGATTCACAACTTGCAAAGTGATGCAATTTGTCCCCGACCACTTTGCAAGCTGAAAAACGGCCCCAGTGGTTTCTGGAGCTCGACGGAGCTGGGTCAATAAGCTCCGTGACATCTGTGCCAAGTGCAATCGCTGTCATTCAAAGATCCACAAATACTGCATTTGCCTCAAGAAGTGCAGCTCATGCCCGGCCCCAATACATTCACATGGTTCAGGATGCTTCGACGGCATTCGTTGCTTCCTCCACGGAGGATGGCTGCTGTCCTGGAGACTCAGGTTGACACTTTGATGGCTGGAGTCAAGAGTTTTCCTAACGCCAGCCTCATGGACGTTTGGAATTTCCACAGATCATGAATCGCCCAAAACATAGAATCGCCCGCGTATCATCTTCCTGTATCTCAGAATCACCCGCACAGAGAAATCTAAGGGAACATCCATGGCGCATAAAAGGAGCTGTCAGAGCACAACCTACGCGGGGGGAATGAAGGGGGCTCGAGGGGGCAATGGATGAAACACAAGGGGAAAATGAAGGGGGCTGGAGGGGGCAATGGATGAAACGCAAGGGGGGAATGAAGGGGGCTCGAGGGGGCAATGGATGAAACATAAGGGGGGAATGAAGGGGGCTCGAGGGGCAACGGATGAAAAACAAGGGGAGAATGAAGGGGGCTGGAGGGGGCAATGGATGAAACGCA